ACTTTGGATATTGAATATAAAGAGAGCCTTTAGTGCCTTTATATCTTTCCTTAGTCACCCTTGGCTATTTTCGGCCAAACCCTACCATCTCCACCTTGAGAGAAACAACCCTAGAAGTGGCCTTCATCATCATGAAGTGAGCCAACCCTAGAGTACCATTCTCAAGCATTTCCTCAAACACCTTCTACCCAACCTTCATTTTCGTCCATTCCATCATCATCCACCCTAAAACCTTGTGCCACCTTTGAAGAACTTGATCCTTGGAGTAGGCGTCCTCTTCCTTGATCATCATCTCATGTCCATGCAAGTAAGGATGCCATCAAAAAGGTTTGACACATTCGCAAAAGTTTTTAAAAAGGAAAAGAAGTAGTTGGCTTCTTGAAACTAGGTAAAAGATGCAACCCATTAATGCAAGATTTGTGCACATCACATAAAAATATATGCAAATCTGGTACAATTTTGGTGGAACTCTCCCAAAACAATTCTGTGTGATCTATAATGGCAGCTTTTGTATCAGATAAAATCAATGAATAGAATCAAGATTGATGGCGTTCTGGTCAACATGTACACATACAAAATTCACAAAACAAGGCAGTCTCACACTTTCATGCAGAAATACGAGTATACCATTTTACAAATCGTTGCATAATATTTGCAGGGCTTCATTCAGTTAAAAAGACAAGATACAAGAAAAATATAAAATCCTCTATTAGTTTTCTCAACCAAGACACAAAATAGATAAAAATGCCACAAAAAATAGAAACAAAATTGCAACACTCATTTTGCAGCTCTAAACACAAAACAGATGATAAGGGTGATACAATACAAAACCAATAAAATACAGAACATACCATGGCAGCCACTTTCAATGAACAAGCAAAATGCCAAACCAAACAAAGAGATTCAACTTTTATGTACTAGAGAACAAAGAGGATTTAGGGTTTCGGCCACCACTTGTGCGCACTTCTTTGCAGAATGGCTCTGATGCTTCGAGAGAGGGTTCTTCAAGGGGGATGATGCTTCGCGTAGGTCAGCAAACAAACCAAACAATGAAGATTCAGGGCTGGGTTTCGGCCACCACTTGGGCGCACTTCTTTGCAGAATGACTCTGATGCTTCGAGAAAGGGTTCTTCAAGGGGATGATGCTTCGCGCAGGTTAGCAAACAAACCAAACAATGAAGATTCAGGGCTAGGTCACGCGTAGTTGAAAGTTCAAGGCTAGGTTGCGCGCAGTTGAAGATGATGTTGTTCTTCGTGGAGAGAAAGGGCTCTCGCAAGTTAGCATAAGCTTCTGAATACTACATCGGTTACTAGGTGAACCGATGTAGATGTATTTATAATTATTTACAAAATTGCCACCGCGCTTTAATACTACATCGGTCCCGCTAAAAATGATGTAGAATGCATGATATTTACATCGGTCCATCCCATAATCGATGAAAATATGCTTGATATTATACAATTATTTACAAAAATGCCACCGCTTTTGTTTTTTACATCATTTTTACCTAAACCGATGTAGAATTGACGATGTTGAACAATAACTTTCTAGTAGTAGTCAATTTTGTTTTATAAGAATGAAGTATCAAATCATCTTGAATTAATATAAAATTTTGTATATTTGATCTAAGAGTAAAAATTTTTTAATTCGATGGTTGGATTTACAAAATTCACATTTAATATAAAGTTATTGAGCAGTGTAATACTTAGTAAAAGTTACACCGGTGTAATTATAACCCCCCTTATATATATATATATATATTTATTAATATATATATATTTGTCCCTCACTTTTATTCCCTTCCTCTTCCTTTCTCCCTTTCTATCTTTCCCCTTTTATTTCTCTTTCTCCCTCTCTCTCTCACACACTTTCACTCCCCTTCTCTTCTTTTCTCCATTTCCCTCCCCCTTTTTCTCTCCTTTTATTTCTTTTTCTCCTTTTCTTTGTCACTCTCATTCCCCATCTCTCCCTCTCTCCTTTTTATATATTTATTTCTCTCTCTCTATCTCTTTCTTGTATTTTATTATTTCTTAACCTTGTCAATTTTAATAATATTATTAAAGTATGTTTTGTTTTTATAGTTCAATAATATTTGTTAACACGATAAACATAATATATTTTTATCATCATCATCTCATGTCCATGCAAGTAAGGATGCCATCAAAAAGGTTTGACACATTCGCAAAAGTTTTTAAAAAGGAAAAGAAGTAGTTGGCTTCTTGAAACTAGGTAAAAGATGCAACCCATTAATGCAAGATTTGTGCACATCACATAAAAATATATGCAAATCTGGTACAATTTTGGTGGAACTCTCCCAAAACAATTCTGTGTGATCTATAATGGCAGCTTTTGTATCAGATAAAATCAATGAATAGAATCAAGATTGATGGCGTTCTGGTCAACATGTACACATACAAAATTCACAAAACAAGGCAGTCTCACACTTTCATGCAGAAATACGAGTATACCATTTTACAAATCGTTGCATAATATTTGCAGGGCTTCATTCAGTTAAAAAGACAAGATACAAGAAAAATATAAAATCCTCTATTAGTTTTCTCAACCAAGACACAAAATAGATAAAAATGCCACAAAAAATAGAAACAAAATTGCAACACTCATTTTGCAGCTCTAAACACAAAACAGATGATAAGGGTGATACAATACAAAACCAATAAAATACAGAACATACCATGGCAGCCACTTTCAATGAACAAGCAAAATGCCAAACCAAACAAAGAGATTCAACTTTTATGTACTAGAGAACAAAGAGGATTTAGGGTTTCGGCCACCACTTGTGCGCACTTCTTTGCAGAATGGCTCTGATGCTTCGAGAGAGGGTTCTTCAAGGGGGATGATGCTTCGCGTAGGTCAGCAAACAAACCAAACAATGAAGATTCAGGGCTGGGTTTCGGCCACCACTTGGGCGCACTTCTTTGCAGAATGACTCTGATGCTTCGAGAAAGGGTTCTTCAAGGGGATGATGCTTCGCGCAGGTTAGCAAACAAACCAAACAATGAAGATTCAGGGCTAGGTCACGCGTAGTTGAAAGTTCAAGGCTAGGTTGCGCGCAGTTGAAGATGATGTTGTTCTTCGTGGAGAGAAAGGGCTCTCGCAAGTTAGCATAAGCTTCTGAATACTACATCGGTTACTAGGTGAACCGATGTAGATGTATTTATAATTATTTACAAAATTGCCACCGCGCTTTAATACTACATCGGTCCCGCTAAAAATGATGTAGAATGCATGATATTTACATCGGTCCATCCCATAATCGATGAAAATATGCTTGATATTATACAATTATTTACAAAAATGCCACCGCTTTTGTTTTTTACATCATTTTTACCTAAACCGATGTAGAATTGACGATGTTGAACAATAACTTTCTAGTAGTAGTCAATTTTGTTTTATAAGAATGAAGTATCAAATCATCTTGAATTAATATAAAATTTTGTATATTTGATCTAAGAGTAAAAATTTTTTAATTCGATGGTTGGATTTACAAAATTCACATTTAATATAAAGTTATTGAGCAGTGTAATACTTAGTAAAAGTTACACCGGTGTAATTATAACCCCCCTTATATATATATATATATATTTATTAATATATATATATTTGTCCCTCACTTTTATTCCCTTCCTCTTCCTTTCTCCCTTTCTATCTTTCCCCTTTTATTTCTCTTTCCGATGGTTGGATTTACAAAATTCACATTTAATATAAAGTTATTGAGCAGTGTAATACTTAGTAAAAGTTACACCGGTGTAATTATAACCCCCCTTATATATATATATATATATTTATTAATATATATATATTTGTCCCTCACTTTTATTCCCTTCCTCTTCCTTTCTCCCTTTCTATCTTTCCCCTTTTATTTCTCTTTCTCCCTCTCTCTCTCACACACTTTCACTCCCCTTCTCTTCTTTTCTCCATTTCCCTCCCCCTTTTTCTCTCCTTTTATTTCTTTTTCTCCTTTTCTTTGTCACTCTCATTCCCCATCTCTCCCTCTCTCCTTTTTATATATTTATTTCTCTCTCTCTATCTCTTTCTTGTATTTTATTATTTCTTAACCTTGTCAATTTTAATAATATTATTAAAGTATGTTTTGTTTTTATAGTTCAATAATATTTGTTAACACGATAAAAATAATATATTTTTATCCTTCTTAATTATTATGTAGCACTTTTCTTAGTTGTTTCTTTTGTTGAATTCTATATTTAAATACTTTTAACTATAATTTTTAACTCTTTAAAATAGTTTAATATCATATTTGTAATAAGATTTGAGTAAATAAATTTATCTAATGAGTTTATTTTTATAAAGGATTGTGGAAAAAAGATAAACACTAGAAAGTGATGGAAGAAGTAGAAGAAGTGAAGAATGGACTCCTCCTTAGCTCCTCCTAAGCACGGATCTTCTTCAAAGGAGAAAGGTCCAAAGTGTTGCACATTTTAGAAGGATGAGAACTCGCGGATTGAAGAGGCTTAAGCCTAGAAGGAAGTATCTGAGCTTAACAATCAAGAGATTGCTCACTTCAAAGGGAAGGAAATGAAGGTTTCCTATGGTGTTTGAAGGCACTCTATCTAGTTTTCTCTCAACTTCGGTGACTCTTGAAGAATTGCTGAATATTAGATCAGAAATTCAATATATGTTCAAAAGTGTTTGTACAAG